TAAATTCTCACCCAACTTTTAATCACACTAGAACAAAACAGAACTGCGAATTTCATTATGGAAACTGTGGTGCATAAATGTTTGTCAGTGACTGTTGTTGTTTTTCACATTGCTGTGCAGTTTCTACTCAGGGTCCAGCTTTAGTGGTCAGCATGCTGGGGAGAAAGGCTGGCTGGAAACAATCTCGGACTGCTAAAAAGACCTTCACAATGATTTACCATACATGGTACAACTCTGATATCACTGTGTTTCATTGGTCTCCTGAAGTAAATGTATATATCAACAAGAATCACACAAAACATCTCACTTACTGGGTAGTATTTGCTTTTAAGGCAATAGTGTTGTACTTTTTTGTATTTTCATTTTGTTTTCTTTGTTCTTTTTAAATACATTTTAAGAAGTCTTTACTTTGATTACACTAACACTATGTAGGTGATGGATAATAGGTACTGACTTGTAACGAGCTGGACATGAATAACTTGCACTTATGTAATATCATTATGCTACAGTATATTACAATCTTTTCTGTATGATGTAATTCAGGGTTAACCTGAAAGAAAGGCAGATGTGAAATGTAAAAATGAGATCAGAGGGAGATCAAACGATAACGTGATATTTAGAATCCCCAAAGGCGGTACAATTTTAAGCATAGTTTTAAATATGAAAGAAGTTTTATGAAAGTTTGACCTTATTTGACTTTAAAGAAGAAGTAATGTGATATTTAGAATCGCCACATATCATTCCCTAATATAGTTTCTAATTAATAAGATGTTTTGTCAGTTTTCAACCGATGAATTCTTAAGTTAACTTTGAAAATCTTGGTGGATATAAGCCAAAATTTTAAAGGATTGCTAACATGACCTCACCCTACACCCTTAGGCTTTGAAAAGCTTACATAAAGATGTCGGTGGTGTTTCTGACAGTTTTACTATTTTTATTGGTTTCTTTTCAAATAAAGGGTTAGACCTAAATGGGACATAGACATTAGAGACATATATCAATTTTTGAAGATGTTCTGTTAATATAGTATTTGACCCTTTTTGCATTGCTGTAGGGAAATTTTATGCTGTCAGTAACTGAACTGCGTTGAAGGTCACAACATCATGTCTGTGCATTTTCAGAATATGATTTAGTTTGGATAAATAATACAAAGAGTAGAAAGGTGGTATTACATTTGAGAAGTCAAGTGGTTTTAATGACTAGCAATGAATTACAGTGCGTTCTCTTTTATGTTCAGAAGCAGAGAGCAGGAGTAGCAACAGGTAAGGTTACTGATGTTTCTTGTTAAAATCCTGACACCCCAGGCCTTATACATGTAATGTTTGTATAGGTGTGTGTGTGTGTGTGTGTGTGTGTGTGTGTGTGTGTGTGTGTGTGTGTGCGTGTGTGTGTGTGTGTAGTTGCTGTTAAGGCCACACTGTCGTCTGTGTGTCACTAAATAATGACTCTGTCTGAGCTGCGTGCCCTCTGGGCTCTCCTGTCTGCCCACAAATACGTACAAACACACACACACACTCTTGCACTGTTCTGGCTGGCCATGGCTGGCTGATTCTTAAATGTCAGATGACTTCACTCCTGGAACAATATTTATTGAGCCCTGTTCTCTCTTTCTCTCTTTCCTACTCTCTCGCATTTTGCTGGTAAATTTCTTAAAGATTCTAAATTGATAAGTCCATTAAAACTTCTTTAAGAGGCCCCATTTTAGATTATATGTATTTCAATGGAAGAATTTGCACAGACAAAGTCAAAAAAACTTGTTCATTTAACACTTTCTCGCTCCTTACTCTTTATTTATATGAACACTTGGGTATTGGTTCATTAACCAGATGTACTTTCATACTTTCTTTACATGCATTTTTATCTTTATCACAATAGACTCTATCACAGTTGTATATATTAACACATGGGACTTGACAGCACCAATGTGCAGTTCAGAAGCTAGTGCTTTCCTCATTCACCTTACACCTATGGTCTTCCATCTACAGCTTCTGCAAGATAACATTATGGTCACTAAATTGCTTTCTTTAATGAGCCTCTCAGTTTTTTTAGTAAGATGTCAACTGCCTCAAAGCACATTGTGCGCTGTCTATCTTGCGTGCTGCACAATATCGTTTATTATTTAGTATCTACTGATATCTACTGCTAGCTAGTTTATTGTGATGGTGCCGGTTTTTTTAATTATGTTGCTCTTTGTTGTTTGCGTTCTCTTCTGTTTTTTTTCTCCATACAGGTGACCCAGGTGTTTTGTTTTTTTTGTTTGTTTTTGTTTTTCTTTCTTCCCCCCTTCTCACCGTCTCTTCTCCCCTTTGGTTTTCTTTCTCTCCCTCTCTTTCTTTCATTCTTTCTCCCTGTCCTATCCCCCAGTCATGTCTGTCCCGTTTGTAGCAACTGAAAATAAAATAAATTCATAATTATAATAAAGGTCAATCAAATGGACCAATATGGCAAGGCCATGATGATCCACTTGGTAAAATAAATCCGCTTGGCATCTTTCTTGGCCTTAAGACAACAATTCTGATGGCTAAAGATCCAAACGGGACACAAAAAAAAGAAAAAAAAAAAAAGAAAAAAAAAAGATGTCAACTGTTATTTATTTACTGAATAAATGCATTTAAGAAGCAAAAAAAAAGCAAAAAAACCACAAAAAACAAAAACCCGACCTTAATGTCATAAAACGTAATTCCTCAGGAAGTCTAATTTGTGAGTTCTGAATAAGATGAGTGTTCTCCAAACCCACACACACAAACAAATAATAATAATAATAATTCTTCTCTTGCTCCCGGTAAATTTCCTTCCATCTAAAACAGAATTGAAGAGAAGAGAGAGAAAGTTAGATAGCATAAGAGAAAAACAGATGAAGGGAGAGCGGTAGATGGGACAGAGGATAGGATAGAGTTTAAAGTCATTGTTATGTTTGTAGATTTCTGCTTGTATGGAGGAGCAAACTAATGCTGTTGCAAGACAGAAAGCCAAGTCGGTATTTTAACTTTATGTTTTTAATGATATTTGGCTTAAGTTTACTTACTTACTGTTCTAGAAGCTTCAGGCTGCTTTACTAGTTGTTGACAGTAAATATTCCACTTGTGCTTTTGAATGCATCCTCAATTTCTAGTAGCATGATATGTGAAAATGTGAGCTAACTGACAGATAGGCTGACTAGTTGTGTAGATTCTGCAGCTCAGGGACGATATCCAAAAAAATGGTGTTTGTAGAAAGGTTATAAAGTATTGATATAGCTTACAAAAAATGTACATTTATTTATAAATATTAAATTTGGCATGTGGATACAGAAAGACAACCAGAGGCAATGCCCACCCTCCACCCCCAACTTCCACAGAATAAAAGAGAAAAAAAGAAAACACAACACTGATCCACTGCCTGTGCTTTATTCTTTTATGCATGCTGACAGCCTCCTGCATCTTTCTGCACTCTGCTCGGATGTCATCACCTTTCGGCGCTCCTTCCTGGTTGAAGAATTGTAAATTATTATTATTTTTATAGTTTGCATCAAAATATTTATTAGCTGAAACATTCTTTTAGTAGAAATAACAAAACCACTCCATCTCAGTACACCTATACAACGTAACTGGTAAATTCTACATAAGTTATCACAAGTAAAAAGTATTTTACTGAAGAAAATTTTCCCCATCTGTGCTACCTAGATTCCTATTCCTCCTGCAAATATTTAAGGTTGAGGCCCTTGCAGGCTACCCACAATTTCCCCAAACTGAGCGATTATACATCTTCCTTCCATATTTGTATCTTGTGTCACTAAAAATAATTTTATTTAATTTAATACATTGATTAATGACCTACAGAATCTCCTTATCATATTAAGTGATTCATAATTGTCACTTTATGCTTTCTCCATCTTGAAAGTGATGACATCCTTGCATTACATCCTTTAGGTTCATTTTCTGCAGGCAGGTTTCTGACAGAGAACAGGCAGATTTACACTATAACATGCAGCGTTCTATAGATGGACACATAAAGAAATGAAAAATTACATGTATGTGCTAACTTTCTAAACACTGTTACATTAATGATTAAGTAGATAAAACATTTATGTCAGCCTTGGCTCATAGTTCATTTAAAGACAAGAACTTTGTGTGTGTTTCAGGTCCTGCACTCTCAAAGACTGAATGAACCAGCATTGCAGCCATGGGTCACTGTGAGCATCACAGGGGAGGTTGAAGCCGCCCACTGCAGCTGTAAGGCCGGAGTCACGGAGACCTGCACCCACGTCACTGCTCTTCTGTTTAATGTAGAAGCAACAGTGATCTGTGGCACAAGGACTGTTACAGATGAACCTGCATACTGGGTTTTGCTGGGTAATATGACCAAGATACAGCCAGAGGTTGGCCATAAGATAGACTTCTCCTCTTCAGCTGCCCAAAAAAAGGCTCTTGATCAGAACAAACAGACCATCTGTAGTGACAGGTAAAAGGAGCCGTCCTCAAAAAAGAAAAATCCCACCTGCTACTGTGGAGGAGTTGTCACTGCTATAATGCCATCATGTTTTATCTAGGGGTCTAGATTTATGCCTATAGTGCACTGCCATGTAAATAATTTGCATTTACTGAATGAGTATCACTGTTCAAAAATTGAATAAAGAAACAAACTAATTTTTGCCTTCTTTTTTTTTTATTAAAACCACTTTATAGAACATCACATCAGTTACAATGTAGAATCCATGTCACTGGAGAATTTTGATTCAATAAACAGTAAAAAGGTGAGCTGTGAAGACCAAGGACAAGTGCAGCTCACAGGTTTTCTATCCAAGGAATCCCAGAAGATTGCATGGTGTCATTGCCCAGCAGTTGTTCGCAGGACATATGGACTCAACCTCAACAATCCCTCACACTGAGCAGCATGAAGTGACAGTGCAGAGGAAAAACTCCCCTTTAACAAGAAGAAACCTCCAGCAGAACCCGGTTCAGTACCAGCAGCCATCTGGGTTTGGAGGAGAGAGAGAGACACAGAACTACCAAAAGTACATATTTTTTTATGTGATTGACTGTTGTTGTAATTCAAGCCCTGAGTGTAGAGCAGGTAAGATATAAAGTTGCATCCTAAATTCCATGCTCATGCAGAGTGTTTAGTTTATGACTTTTTCACCTGGTCATTTCTTGATGAACAGATGGTCTTTTAGGGTTGACCAAGCTGGTACCTTGACTCTGTTCTCTGCAAGATGTTGCAAAAAACAAAATCATATGGAGACAATATTGGACACAAAATATATAACAATTTAGTTAAATGTAGCATTAACTCATAGGTCTTGCTAAAGTAAACCTTGTATTCTGATTCATCACAGCAGCAGTTCAGTTGGATGATGTCAGTAACTGCAGCAAGTGTCTTGCTGACTGAATAATTACATCTTGCATAATCTGAAACAAACACATAAAGACAGAAACAATTTATAAATTAACGTTTGATAAAATCTAAGAATTAATCATTTATTAGATACCAATATGAATATGTCTACCATAAAACTTGTGTGGAGTGAAGTTACATTCAATCAAGATGGTCTGGCATGCTACAACTTTGTAGTTGTTAAGTTCTGGCTACAAGTATACATACCCATCTTGTACATGTTCTTTAACATTATTATTATTATTATTATTATTATCATCATCATCCTCCTACCCAATTATCTGTTTCTTTTAATCAGAGTATGCTGTTTTAATGACTTTACAATATCATTTACATTGTGTTCCTTACATTTTCCCCAATTGTATGTTATATTAATCCTATATTTCCGTTTTAATATTTCTAATGTTTGCCTTGTTTTCTTCACTGTCTGGTCTGCCTCTGTCTCACCTTTATGGATGCATTTACACCTAAATGTCCCCAACAAAGGATGTTTTAATTCACCACTATTCCAGTGAAACACGAGGAAATTGTGGGTAGCCTGCAAGGGCCTCAACTTCTCCATACCCACAATGTGCAACAAATGGGCACAGCTATCTTCAACAGTGGAACATCGGCCAGTTACTTCCAACTTTAACGCAGCTTGTAGTCTTGGAGAGCAGCACACCAAAACTGCATGCACAACTTCTGCTAACAGTGGAAACAGATTAAGAAATCCATGCAAACAGATTCATAAACCGAAAGAATATTATTTTACAGGATTAATGATCATATCAGCCGCTGGCTGATCACAAACCCTGAGGGTGTATACGAGAAGCAGAAGAAGCAGAGGGGATATCCAGTTTAAGTTTAGATAGTATTTGTAAAGATATTGACCATATCCTTTTCTGAAAGTGTGGATATAATGGATGGGGTAAGGTACTGACATGCTACAACTTTATAGTTGTTAAGTTCTGGCTACAAGTATACATACCCATCTTGTAAATTTTTTTATTTTATTATTATTATTATTATTATTATCATCATCATCATCATCATCATCATCCTCCTACCCAATTATCTGTTTCTTTTAATCAGAGTATGCTGTTTTAATGACTTTACAATATCATTTACATTGTGTTCCTTACATTTTCCCCAATTGTATGTTATATTAATCCTATATTTCCGTTTTAATATTTCTAATGTTTGCCTTGTTTTCTTCACTGTCTGGTCTGCCTCTGTCTCACCTTTATGGATGCATTTACACCTAAATGTCCCCAACAAAGGATGTTTTAATTCACCACTATTCCAGTGAAACACGAGTCTCCCACCTTCCTGCTACCGGTCTCGAGTTTTTGTTCACCAAAGCACACACCAACTTCATACTGACGGACAGATCACTGCCCTTTTGCCGCCTTGTCTGACCGTGTTTTGTGGCTTTGGTTCACTTCGCCTCACTCTTCCCCATTCTTGTCATTAAATCAGGCCGTTCTGCAACCATGGCAGCCATTCAATCTATGGCTTTATTCATGGTGTATTTTACCACTTCACCAAAGGCCGTTTTCGTTTACAACATTATATTTGCAGTGTTCGTCTATCTATCAATATCTGCGGAGTATTTTTTAACGAGTATCCTATTTTCTAAAGCACAGCATGTAAAGGGTAGCTCGGTTAGCAGGATGCTAGCATGTAGCACTTAGTGAGACACGCCTCAGACGAGTTGAGCAAAGACCCCGTCTGTGTACTTTATACGTGAGCAACGGATTTAAATAAAATTAACGTTTCAAAAGACAAACTTGAAGATAAAAAACAATATACTTACCGGAGAATCGCCAGGGTTTGCCGCTTCCATCTTGCTGCTCCTAAATTCAAAACTGCCTCTGCAGTCAGGCAGGGGAGGCGTGGAAATTGTCTTTGAGTTAGTCAAACGTTTTCCTTAGTTCGAGTAGATGATAAAATAAAAATAAATGGGATTTTAAGTAGGACTAGGCGTTCTGTAATGATCTCTATTTAGGAGAAAAACTTAATCACTCACCTCTAAACAGCTCTCTTTTAGGAGACAAACTGCTGGCTAACGGTGTCATGTGATCAAACAGCGTAATTTAATTGGCCGAGAGCCACTCGACTCGATCTGGTGCTGATTGCTCTGGCTTGGGTCATTAAAGTTCATCACTTTTGCAGTTGAATTTTTGCAGGTGAATTTTTTGCAGGTGAATTTTTGCAGGTGAATTTTTTTCAGGTGAATTTTTTGCAGGTGAATTTTTGCAGGTGAATTTTTGGCAGGTGAATTTTTTGCAGGTGAATTTTTTTCAGGTGAATTTTTGCAGGTGAATTTTTTGCAGGTGAATTTTTGCAGGTGAATTTTTGCAGGGAAATTTGGAGGATAAAAATTCAGTGTCATAAATTCAATGTCTAAAAATACTTGAATTCTGATGATACTATATTTCTTCCATAGATCATAACTGACCTCAAAGCAGTAAAAAGGACAGCCATTGGCAGCTTATAGAGCATGTCTAGTCTCCCATCAAAGACCACAGGTTTATACACAAACAACCAGTAAAAGCTGCTAGCCTAAAAGCTTGAAAAGCTGAAGAAATTGTTAATGGGACACTAATGAAATGGAGAGACACTATAAATTCTACTGGCTAATAGTCAAGCACAGTAAAGACTGCTTCCAGAGACCAGAGCCAACTGTGCCACATGATGGCAGTCATTTAAAGACTGGCTGCATAAGGGTGAGAAGCTTTAGGACAGGACACTGTTTGAGATGCAAGGAGATGTGTGTTGAAAAAACATACTTAGTATATCATTGGGATTTACATAATTTTTGGAGCAAAAAAATCAACTCCTTGAAAAGTAAAATCAGTAAATTGTAAGGTTACGAAAAGTTTGAGTTTCTCCAGGAAAGAGATGTAAGTTATTATGTTATGATGTCACAATACAGTGTGCTGTGTGTGTTGGGGAAGGTGGTATTGCTAAATGTCATTCTTCTGTCTGTCTGGGCCTCTTGGGGTCATTACAACATCACACCGGAGGACAAGACTGGAGTAAAACTGACAAATGAACCTGTCCTGCCTATCTGAGCACACACACAGAGACAGGCACTCACACATGTACAGATGGTGGGACAGTCTCATATGTCAGCAACCTGATGGAAATCTGGCCTGGACTAACCAGCTGGAAAAGTGACCCTCTGGTTAATGGAGTGGCTGGAGAAATGAGAGGATGAAAGAGAGAGAGGTAAAATATGAGTGAGGAAAAGTTGCAGAGGCTGGGAAAGTAAGAGTAGGTGTGGGGGAGAACGGGCACATTTATAGAGTCTGTTCATTTCCTAGGAATACACTTGTCCCAAAATTTGCTGCAATTGGCCGAAAGGGTTACTGACAGAGTAACCTAAACACAGTTCTCAATGAGTTGAAGTCATGTTAAGACCTAAATGTCTGAAATATTCATTCACAATACTTTTAGGCAAATAAACCCAACTTATATTTTAGTTATGACAAGCATAATAAACTCCATCGGTTTTTCCTACAGGGAGGCTGGTTTTTCCAATAAAACAATTGCAGGCTTATAAATAGATACAACAGGAGCAACAGGAGTTTAGTAACCACAGCAGAAAATGTGTGCATGGGTGAATAACAAGCAGCTGGATGTTGCAATAGATAGTGACTGCTATTAGATGTGTGCTGATAGACATTCTCGTTTCTAATACTCATTTAATCTGTGAAATCAAAATCGTGAATGTCATAAAGTGACTCATTAAATGTCATGACTTGCATACTTTGAAATCTGTAAAAAGTTTAAATCTGTAATTATTAACTCTACTCATTCTATGAAAGCATAATTAAAAACTTTAACATTTTATTCATTTTTTCAGCCAAGTGAGAGGAGGAGAAATTAAGAAAAAAAAGACATAAAAGTGCATAAACTTTATAACTACAATAAATAAGTAAGAATGGGCAAGAACCATCAAAAGGAAAGGGTAAAGTCATTCATATGACTCTGCAGTAGTCACGCATCTTCACTGGCTCCAGCAACAAAGAAGAGTGATGGAGTGGGACTGCACTGAAGCATTGAAGTTCCAGAGCTACTCTTAGCATCATGTCCTAACAGTCCATTAGTTGTGTAACATACACCTGAATTGTGGCCATACTCAGTATTTAAAAGACAGACATTGTTTCCATGTCTGAAAATTGAAGCCAGTGTGGAAATATCATAAACTTGCATTCTTTCTTATGACCCCCAGGGGACAAAATTTCTAGAAACCCTCCAGCTCCTTTTACCTATGAAACAATATATCTCAGGGTTTTACAACTGGATTCACCCAACCAACTTGTAAAGTCATGGTGGCTACATCTGTCTTCAGTATAACAGTCATGAACTGATCACCAAATAAGCAAATTAATATAGTAATTGTTGTAATATAGTAATAGAGGGGTTTTTCTTTAAAGATGATTACTGGTGGGTAAAACATCCTTTAGGATCAGTAGCTGCTAGCAAAGCATTAATTACTGTCTTGCCATTATTTACTGATTATTGATGTATGTTTTTATTTTCTTTTTCTTTAAGTGACTAAGAAGAAACAGTTTAAATAAATAAACATATAAACATTATGTTCGCACAAATCTTGCAAAAAAAAAAAAATGGGAACATGCATTAGCCAACAATAAACCAGCAACCCTGGTTTTAGTCGATTATGTAAACTGTAATAATGGTCAAAATTAATAAAGTTTGGATTAGATATAGTACGTTTATGTCATAAGACAGGCAACCAGCGCTCACGTTTCATCAACATAAATGAATATTTTGCCCATAACCCTCTAAGCGGTGGCAGCACTGACCCATCAAGATCGAAAACTCTTGAGTGTACTGTATGTTTGTACACTTTCATCCCAGCAGTGTAAAGATAGTCCACAACATATTCAGAAATGTTATGAAAGTTGAGCGCTACAGCTCAGGTTTCCAGTGTTGGGAAGGTTACTTTTAAAATGTATTCCACTACAGATTACAGAATACATGCCCCGAAATGTATTTTGTAACATATTCCGTTTCGTTACTCAATGAGAGTACCATATTCTGAATACTTTGGATTACTTAATATATTATCATGCTGTTTACAACTACATGAATGTGATTTATTACTATTACTGAAGGTCCGCGGCTCCGAACCGTAGTAGGGACCTCTGGCTAATACGTCGGGTTCCGTGTCGGGCTCGTAGCCGAAAAATAGCTTTACTTTGTTGTCTGGGTCAAGTTTGCTAGCGAGAGACAGAGAGAGGCGTTGAAAGGCTGCTCCAACGGAACTTATTGTTTCGGAGGAAAACACGAACACGTTGTACAGTCGAGTCTTAATAGCTTACTTACAACTGGGCTCGTCAGGCACTCTTCTTGGCTGCAGTGGTTATTATTATATTTACATGCTTCCAGCTCCCGTTTCTGCTCGATGACAACTCATAGTTTTCCACTCTCCTTTTTCTCCCTCCTCGTGCTCACAGACACATAACGGGTATGGCAGTCCATTCTCCCTTCAGCACGGACTACACTGCCCATAAGCAGTGGCGTGTCTAGAAAATTTTTGTTGGGGGGGCCAGGTAGGGGCACAGATTTGGAGAAGGGTGGCAGATTTAATTGGCAGATAATGTTTAAAAAAAAATTCTACCAACCCTTAACCATAATTCAATAATCCTATAAACCTAATAACCAAATGCACTTTTAACTCTTATTAGAATGAGATTTTAACCACTACGGTGCAAAGTTTTTAGATACTGCGTTGATAAAGTACAAGAGATACAATCAGTGCTTTGTCAGTGTTTACTCAGCATTCAAGGACAGCAATATTTGCATAGTATTTTTACTGACATATAGTGCACATATGTTTTGGGCAAAAACATTTTTGAAAATTAAAATACGAACATTTGTAACAAACAATTGACAAATTAGCCAATGCCAATGCAAAACTTTATCTGCCTGTTAAAAAAAGAAGATAATCTTCTCACAAACTGGTGTTTGATTTTGAAACAGGAAAAAAGTGGGGAAACAACTGAAAAGACTAACATTTGAATGAAACCTGAAAGCAAGTAAATACTTTCTATGCTGCCTTATCGTAAACTTTGGTAATATTGATAAAGAACAACACTGGCTGATGATAAAATACAGTCAGCTGGCATGGTGACACTGCCAGTATTAACCTGCAGGGCTGGACTGGGACAAAAAAATTGGGCATTTTTACTACAGACCGACCCACCAGGTAGTAAAGCCATAAAGACTTTGACTGAAAACAAACCCTGTTGTGACAGTGATGTACAGTCTTGTTGGTATATGTATGATTTCTATACATTTTACGTCAGATAAAAACTTTGGTTGTAAGATTTAGATAATTATTTAATAAAAACTAGGTATTTTAAATGAGAATAAGAAAGAAAAGTATTTCTTTGTGCCCACCTTTCCCTGTTAATGCCCTACCTGGCCCCCTGGCAAAACTTTCCTAGACCCGCCCCTGCACAGTTGCCAGCTGTCAGCTACATAAAAAAGGATCCTGGTGTTATTTGTGTCTCAGAAACAGTTCATAACTTCCCTTCAACTCATTCATGTGAACTAAAAGGTAAACCTGTTTCTCCATCACCTGTTCAGCTCTGATGATTCAGTAAGGACATCTCCTGGTTTCATCTTCATGTTTCCCTCTCACCACATATCCAAACCGACATCATGACCAGCAGCTTTACAGCTGTGGCTCCAGCAAACATCAGCTGATACTAGAAATTAATATTAAATACATTCTAACAACAGCTGATCAAGCTTAAACGTGCTGCTGTTGTTTAGCGCGACATCTGCTGGTTTCCTCTTTCTGGCAAAGTGGGCGATAAACAAACAAGAGAGAAAAGCCGATCAGCTGATCATTGATCAGTTTCATGATTGAAGTAGCAACAGGAGAGGGAGGGGGAGAGAATGAGAGAAGAGGCAGCTGTGCAGCATAAAGACAGAATAAATCCAGCTTTGTGTCTTTTTTCCATTCTAGCTAAAGTCCGGGACAAACTGCGTCTCTTCTCAGCTCAATACGAAACGCGTAATATTTTCTCTGAATGAGGGACCATTCCATTTTTTTAAGGAGCCGTTGG